CCAACTTTAATTTTCGATCTGTTAAAAAGCGAAGCATAAGAATTCTCCTCGACAATTAATGAAAATAAGTAAGAAATTCTTTCGTCGTAAATTTCAAGAAATTCTCTTGGAAAGAAACTTCTCTGAAACAATCGACAATAACATGACTGTTATATTCGCAAGCTACACGCCCATTCCGAAACAACACGCCCAAGGTGCAGCGCAAAGATGGCGGGTCCCATTGGCTGATTTTAATTCCATAAAAATCCGTTTCACTCCGTATTCAGGCTCCCTAGGCCGTCGGACCTCTTTCAAAGTTCCGCATTTTGAAGAACAATCGTCGCACTCCGGCTTCTTCCTCTAATCGCTCCGCGCGACCGAGCTCCGCGGCAACCCCCGGAGCGCGCTCCGTTCTGGAGGGTTGCTGACTCTTTCCGAAGCCGTTTCCCCGAACAATCGCGACGTGCGTTTAATCGCGGACCGCCGGCAAAGGAAGGCGGAAAACAAATCCGCGAAACCGGGTCTCCTCGTTTTAACTAAACTTTTGTCGTCGCCGTAACAATTGCGGCTATTCAGCGTTCCGAGCCAGCGCGGTTTCCTGCGGGGGGAAAAAAGGGGGTGGGTCGCGAGCGACGAGGAGGACGAGGGCGAAGAAAACACGCAGTCCACTCGTTATAAAACATTCCGGCCTCGCAACCCGCGACACCCATCGCCGGGATGTCCGAGTTTCCGCGAGCCCGGCCGGCTGTTTTTCTTTACGACATCGATCCCTCGGCAAAACACCGCTCCAGACGCGCTTCTGGTTTCTCGGCACTCGCACTTAACTCGACCGTTCGAAATTTTAAGTCGTAGTCGGCTTTGCAAACTGTTTGCGAACGTTTGTTTCCAATGCGATCGTCACGCGAGTTTTCAGTTAGACTGTTGTTGGTAATATGTTACTATAGTATAAATAATGAGCCGTCAGTGTAGCCGTCGAACATCCCCGGAACCACTTCGGAACGATGACTGCCAAAGATAAAAATAGAATGAAAATAATTAGAAAACAAGGTGAAATAAACATTAGCAAACGTGCGAACGAAAGATGAGCATCAGAATTATAAAACGATCCAGAAAAAACGAAAACTGCCGTCAGTGTAGCCGTTTTGTTTAGATTTATTGGGTTGAAGACAATGTAATTGAGGAGATGAAATGAGCGCTGGTAGCGAACGTGTTAATGATTGTTATTAGTCACTAGTGTTTTTAGTCATGGATATTATTGATAATGAGAGTTATTTGTAATATGTATTATTACCAATAATTGTCGGTAATAATAATCGTTGTTAGTAACGATTGTTACTGGCAATGATTTGCATTGATAATGAGAGTTATTAATAACGATTATTAATACTAATAACTGTCATTAATAATGATTATTAATTTTAACAATGTTCACCAGCAATAATCCCAAAATATTTAATATCATAGTTCCCAATTCGTACTACTTTTTCTTTCCAATTCATCTCAAACGTCAGTACTTCCCAAAAATATGCTTCAAATGACGTATTACCATTCTTTCTGTTGAATATTGATTTTCAAAAATAAACACAAGTTTGGAAAAACTAAGTGTATATTTACTAGTATCTATTAAGACGAGAAAAAAAACGGTCAGCGCGTGCAATAAAAATGGCTGCCCTTCTCAGGAAAAACAACTGACTCCCGCGAGGGAGAGGACTGCACCAGCAGATACTTTATAGCCATTAAAAATATATTTCATGCTCACTCTCAACGCTCTCGATACAATTTCACAGTCAGAAATACTGAAACAATGATCTCTAATCAAAGAATCATACAAGTTCCCATCGAAGCGACAAAGAACGGCCGATGTCGCGAGATTTTCTCGCAGAAACTGTAACGTTTCGCATGCAGCCGGGAACCAGGGGCGGGGAACTGGCGGAAATTTCGTGGGAAAGCCCGCGCAAGTTTTTCAGAAAACTCGGTCCGCAGGGTAGACGTGTCCTACCGGCGGCAAGTTTACGATGCACGAATTCTGGCCCGTCAATACTGTATTAGTCCGCGATAAGTTTAAGCCATTCGAATCCTCGGCGAGTTGTTCGGGCTTACCGGCCGGCGCAACTTTAATGGCTCGCAGATTTAACAAGGCACCGGTACAAACTTTGCTGCGGGGACACAACCCGAAAGCTCCGAGGCATTCGACCGTAACCCTCCCCCTAGGTTCCTCGAAACGAATTTCTAATTTCGTACACGTAGCAACTTGAAAGAGTTTCCGGTCCGTTTACTGGCCAGCACGGGACGTTCGCGAAAATTAACGAAGTCGACAATGGGGAGGTCGTTTATTCACGGTTTCGAGCATATTTCCCAACGATCCTTCGAATTTCCACCCGTTCGCCGCTATTTTTCATTCCTTTTTCCCGGATGCGCGTGGAAATTCGAAACGCGGGTATCATTGTTACTGACAAAACTGCGGCCGTTAGCGGGGGAGCATTAATGCCGATCTCTTGGTATCGGGTTTCTCAATAATTTTTCTCCGCGAAGGCTAGTATAACCGACGTGTGTTAATAATCAAAATGACACTTTAGTTGTGTACCTTTTAACCATTAGCACTCCAGATGGTTTTGTAATCTATCAGCAACTGCAACTAATTTTTATAGTATCCCTAGCGAAAATGAAGAATGCTGTAACATTTCTTAGATCTTTTATTTTCCTTCTTAGTGCAAAATTTGAATCTGTGAAAAATCTAATAATTGTAGGGTAGTTTTTTTGATTCATTAAAATATCTAATATTATTCCTGGTGAAATATTGTAGCCTACAGAGTTCAAAGGGTTAAACTACCGTTTCCACGAAATACTTCTCCCAGTTCCGTTCGTCATGAATGCCTCTTTGCTACGCGTTGCGTGCGCGAATTTCAATGTTACGAGGATAAAATTTCAATCCTGCCGCAGAATATCGGCTTTACGTCGTTATGGAATGGCTGAGCGCTTCCTCTGCAGTTGGACCGAGTATTATACGCAGATACGTTTAATCAGACGTGGGTGTTACTTTAATTAATACGTCCATAATGCATTAACGCGACGGGAAATGTTATTTTGTCGGACTAGTAATTTCGCGGGGGGAATGACGTCTGATAATTTCGTGGTAATTAGTCGCATCGATTGTCTTTTTAATCATCGCGCTGATGTAAGGACATGAATATGCGAAGCGGCTGAATTTGTGCCCGCAATCATTTGCATTTCAATCGATAACGCGCAACCCCGCCAATTCATTCCGGGTAAATCTTTATTTGAATGTTATTCGATAGAAATTCGAGTCCTAATGGAGGAATAGGAAAAGGTAGACAGTTACATCTTCTTGCGACTTAACCAGTTAACTGTGGAATTTAGTTGGAAAAACCTCTCGTTCTGCGCGCAATAAAATAAAAAAATGGAACGTGTACTCATTGAAAAAAAGAAAAATTATATGTTTACGTGAAAAAATAAAGAATTCATCGCTGAAAGAATTAGTATGTCAAGCTTTACGATGACGTGTATACTCGTCAAACACAGTTAACCCTTAGTACTCCAGACGATTTTGTAATTTATCAGCAACTGCAATTTTCATGGTATCTCCAGTGAAAATGAAAAATGCCATAACATTCCTTCCATCTTTTAGTTTCCTTTTCAGTACAAAATTCGGATGTGTGGAAAACGTAATAATTTTAGGGTAGCTTCTTTGATTCGTTAAAATATTTAATATTACAACTGGTGCAATATTGGAGCCTACAGTGTTCAAAGGGTTAACTGGTTAATCATACCTGCAGAAAGCTCACTGGGAACTATTGTCGCTGCAGATGATTCGCTGGAAGAAGATAATAGGTTAGTCACTGTTGCGCGTAACAAGATATCGAGAAACCATTAACTGTTTTTACTTTAATCCGGACTCCGTTTGATTTTAATTCCATCGGCGCACCGTTCCCAAGTTTTTCTGCTTGTTCAACGTCTGAACTTTCCAGCGGATTCTGTTTGCCGCCGGTAAATAGAAGTTCGAGTATTGTACACCGCGGACCTACGGGATTCATCTGCCGCGGTATTGGAATTTGGCAGATGTCCCGGAAGATTTCTGAACCTGCTGGCGGCCGCGTCAAGCGTCGAGTTTTGCAACGTCATCTTCCTCTAATCGACTGATCCCGGTTAATCTACGACTTTTTTATTTACCCTAGACCGACGAAAATGAATCCCCGGAGAATGGATCTTCTTGCCGAATTAAAACGTCCATTTACTTTCCCGACTTCGCTTCGTGGAACTATATACGCTCTATCAAATTCCCTTCGTCTGGTATCCTCCATTGTAAGACATAAACCATCGACAGGAGATTAATGAAAACTTCATTGTTTGTTAGCTCTTCTGTCTCCGATCGAAATGTTTGCTCAAATTTTAGCGTTTATTCTTCCGAGAGCTATACATTTTCAAAGCACATGCGACGGTTAAAAGATTGATATCCAAAGCAACTTTATCAAATCGCAATAATAAAATGCCTTCTAGAAAATCTGAAGATAGATGTCCAGTTATCCTGCGTTTCAAAAATTGAAATAGCTAATACAAGTGCAAACACGAGTCAACTCGTGACCGATCAACAACGTGTTAACCCTTTGAGTGCTGTGGGCGTATATATGTTCTTCGATCTTTTTAATTTCACAGGTGCCATGGCAACAATTGTGCATGTGATTAATACACGCGTTTCTTGGCACCATTCAATTTGAAACTAAGGAATCACAGTAACAATTTACAACTTAATTATATGAATCAACATAATTTATCAATCCTCAGATGATCAACAAAATATTCCACACGGAACGTTTCGGCCAGAAGTATTCAGCACCCAAAGGGTTAATTACTCATCGAACCTCAATCGCCAAGTTATATCGCGCAACTACCACAGCCGTACCGAGCGACACGGCCGTACCTCGCGTAAATTCCGCGGCAACCGGTGCGCGGCAAATCCTTTAAAACGTTCCCTATCAATTAACCAATTCCGTGTTTCATTTCAGGCGCTGGTGTACCGGGACGGCAACCTGGTCTCGGGCTCCCTGGAAGCCCTGGTGCAGCACATGGTGCCCACCGAGGAATATTATCCCGATCGGGCGTACCTCTTCGCCTTTTTGCTGAGCGCCAGGCTCTTCATCAAGCCGCACGAGCTCCTGGGCGAAGTCTGCGCCCTCTGCGAGCATCAGCAAAACCTGAATGGAGAGGGTGGCAAGGTGAGCCACGAATCCCCGCGTCCCACAAAAGCCCGGCCGAGAGAGAGCCTTCCGGGCGTGCACTTTACGGCCACCGCGTGCATTATCGTTTCATCGTCTCGCAGGCTCGACCCCCTTTTGCATTCACCCCCTCCGGAGAATCATCCCGGGCACACGCTCGCTCTCGTTCCACGTTGTAATAACGAGCACGCGTATCCAGGCCAGAAAAGTCTCGCTCGCAAATGAATTTCCAGCTCGGCAACCCTTCTCCTCTGCGCCCTTTCT